GCACGGTACAGCAAGTCAGAGCAGTGTGTCAGGTCCAACAGAATTAGGGAACGATGGTGAGTTAAGTCCACTGAGCCAATCAGCTTTTGGCTGCTGGCGTGATTGGTGTGATTAAATTTGGAATTATCGATTGGGTGACTGCAATTTGTGTTTGCTGCCAGCGGCCGATCGATAGCCTGCTGTGCGCGCCGCTTGTGCAGGCTATCTATCTGTTAGGCGTATGCTAACAGAGTAATCGTGGGAATGGACACATTCCCAGCAGCATACATACTTAAACTTTCGACTGTTCGGTAAAAGTCATACGTAACATGCATATGAATACGACAATTTTAAAAAATGATTATTCTCCAACGAAATTTAACTTGTGCTGCTTTATTCACTCATTTTTTGCATGAATAGGCTTGCTCTAAATTTAAAACTTAAGTTGACCTAGTACACTCCATTTTCACTTTTTCTGAATTTTCTGCTTTTCTAAAAAAACGGTAATTCTAAACAACGCAATCCTACTTGACAAACGGCAATATATCTTATTGCGAATAAAAATTACTTTACAGCTGTAAAAGTTTAGGGAACGCAACGTGAGCTGCGTTCGAGTAACATGGATTTCTTGTAAAACTCCTTAGATTACATGAGTTAGGGTAGGTACTGTATGGTCCTAATTCCAGACCAACAAGAATGCATTATTATAAAATAAAAGTGAGGCACACTAAGTCTGTAGCCGTCCTCAATCTACTCTTTCCATGGATACCAGGTTAATCAGGCAGTAAAACAGAACAGAAAGAACGTGTGCCACTTTCAAATGGACCACAGTAGTGAAAGATAAAGCAGCAATAATAAATATATTTTCGTTACGCAGGGCACTAGCACAGAAAGTGCGTTTGCCTGCAGATGTAAAACTGCAGCTGCGGTAGAAAAAGATCGTTTAGACTGGATTGGTTAAGAAAAAACAAGTCAACCACACAGTACCAAGGCAAGGGTCTCACGCAGGAGGCGGCGCTCCTCCAAAAACTGCTCCTCTTCGGGGGAGGTTGGCTCGGAAACATGCCCACGGAGGGCATCAGGTAAATGCACCTGGCTGGCAGTAGAAGATGAAGGTGGGGAGACCAGGGAAGTGAGCTGGCGTGTGAGATCAGCGTGCGGACCGAGGAGACGAAGACGGAGTTGCAGCACATCGAAGTGGCGTCGCTCCTGCTCACTCCAGAAGGTTCGAGTGAGCAGCAGACGTGGAAAGGCCAAACTGAAGTTAAAAAAGCATAAATAGGGGCTTACAATTTCTTACATTTCCTCTCATTAACTGTTGGTTTCGAATTGTCGGACCAGTGAAATGCTGAACATTATCAACAGAATGGATACATAATTTCGCTATTCGGTCTGGCTTTCGACAGGGCCGTGTCCTGTCGCCCATTCTATTCAACTACGTCATTGACTGGGTTCTTGGGAAGGCCCCACGTGAAGAGGACAGTGTCGAGCTTGCACCCGGACGCCAGCTGACTGATCTCGACTACGCCGATGATATCGCTTTATTAGTTTCAAGCTTTAGCGAGTTACACAAATTCTATAATCAGTCGTTCCTACAAGCCACAAAGATGGCAATTCTGCGAACTGAGGATTGGCATTGGACAATGAAATTCCACGACGGCCACGCCACGCCAAGACGAGAAAGAAACACAACCACAATCGGAGGGGCAAGTTACGGTTAGGATAAGATGACAGAGTTAGGGTTAGTAGTAATGATAAGAATATGGCTAGGTTTGGGTTTAGGATCAACCTATGCCTAAGTCAACTTTACCACAGGGCCTAATCACTTGCCTGAATTCCTGCTATAGATGTAAGTTGGGAGCAAACATCGGCAAATGCACTAAATTTAACCCTAGCCAACGAAACGTATATTAATTAAAGTCTTAACGTCAGCTTTAATTCTAAACTTACCATCGATCCAGCCGTAAGTCTTACTCTAAGCTCAGCTCGTTCGTTAGTCCAACTGGGCAGACTGTCAGGTTCTCTCAACCAAGTTATAAATACAAACTACTAAAATAAAACAAGTAGCGAAACATAGTCTGGTAAATTGGTCAGGAACATGTAAATGCTTTTCTAATCGCCGAATGGTCTTCGGCAATCTTTTAAGAGATATGAGAAGTAAAAAAAATAAGAGAGACTAGCGGGATACGACATGCGAACTTATAGGAGATCGTGCCTTTTTATGCACTTAGGAAAACTTTTTTAAACGACCCATGTTAGCGGTAGAGACTTTAACAAACATTGTCTTAAAAATAATTGCCAAAATTGTGGCTTTCAGCTCGCTTCCCCTAAACGGTGAGGGCGGAGTCAGGACTAATTTGCTACCAAGTTCGGCGGGGCTCAGAGGTTGCCAGTAGAAAACAGGACAAAATGACTACCCAAACGTGCCTGTCTTCGTTTCAGTGATTGAATGCCGTTTAGAGAACTTTCGCGTAGACCCTACTACGTTAGAGAACACCAGCTTCCGTCTACAGCCGAGCCGAATAGTGTTCAAGTCGTTAGGAACAAAGATTACTGTAGCGGTATAATTTTACATTCAGTTATTAATACAGAGCAAGGTAGTTCGCAGCATGGGCTACTTGCCAATAAAGTAACTTACAAGAGAGGAAGAAGTGCAATTGTGCCTGGCAAGGCGACGGCTATTAAGAGGGGAGTCAGTTTGATCATGTCTCGAGGAACCTAAAAGTGCAACATTGCCAGAGCAAATCATAGAGAAAATAAGATATCTGAATTCAAAAAAGATGTTCATCGA